CTTGTCAACTTATGCCTCAGGGTGACGAGCGCAGTGTTAGTGCTCCTCAGAAAGCTCTGAGGACACTGCAACTGTTATGGACAGGCGTGTAGCTTACCAATATTTGACTTTGACTTCATTATATATACATACTCATTATTTTTCATGCTTCATCATTTCACTACTAAGTCTAATAGACCAAAGAATAAAGTGATTTATACAGAAATGCATTATTTTTTGTGGCTTATAATAGACTACGAAGGTAACGGTTTTTTTACGCTTTTGCTATTTAGTTAACGATAAACCGATAAATTGAACAGAACCCTAAGAACTGGTCAAATTGTCTAAATAAACTGCTAATCTGTTTCAATGTTTAGTCCTTCCTTTAACCATCACCTAAATAACCTCTGCGGCAAAACAAAATGTACTTATGTAACCAATCAACTGTTTATTTACATCGAAGGCTATGGTTTTGTGGAGTCATAAGCGTTAAAAAATATTACGCTCGGCCGACCATCCGTTAGTCATACAGAACCATATTAATTTTCTTTTCTGTACTGGCTTTAAAACTTGACTGATCGTCTGTTAAATTAGATTGAACCAAATGCAGAAGAAAAAAAAACTCGATTACTATCAAAACCGCTATCGCCAAAAACTCACACTATCATAATGTCAAACACTACGAAATCTTTATAATGAGTGGTCGTAGCTTCAAAATATTTTTAAAGCCCCGCATTAGGGAAACCCTGTATCGCGGGTGCTATGGCAACTACAAATTACATCCAAACTTATGAGAAAAATAAATGTAGGATATACAAATATTTTAATATAGAGGAGCAAAAAGGCCAGTGGGCACCAGCTCGAAGATCTCACAATATCGTCAGATTGGCGGAATCCCGTTGGAAGCGAATGTCACAGGGTCGAAAATATTGGCGCAATAAAGAAGAGGCCTATGCCCAGCAGTTCGTTGATGTTGGCTGACCATGATGATGATACAAATATTTCCTTTAAGTCCCGGCCCGGGAATCGAACCCAGGATCTCTGCGTGGCAGTCCAGCAAGGTAACCGTTCGGCCACAGAGGCAGTTTAAAAAGATGTAACAAAGTCTGGACTGTTAATATTATTTCAACTTTACACAGTTGGCATATCGTTGAAAGTTTACTAGCTATTATTGCAAGCTACGAACGTTTTTATTTTATAATAAAATTTCATCAGTAATACCTGAAAGATGATTTACGTTCTCCAAAAAAAGTCAACCATATTGCAGCTGTACAAAGTTTATTATCGTTTTTAATAACTAATAATCTATTACGATAAACAAAAAATGAAAAATTTATTAAAATAAATTAAAAACGACTTTTTTTGCACTCCAAAGTAGTAAAACGAGGCATTTTTCCAAGATTTTAGAGGTTTTGCGCATTATGATTGACACGACCATAACGTACAAAAACAAAATGGCGGACTGAGCTCAAGTATGCCGAACGTTGCGTACTGTTGGCACACATTCCACGCCCACTAAACACTTTTACTGTATTTACTGTTCTTCGGTTACAAATTAAACTATTGATACGGATTTCGGAAATTCGCGTATAATCGTCATTTCAAACAAATCAACGGGCTCCACAGAATAACCAATGAAGATGCTCATTGGTTATTCTATTTATATGTAAAACTTCTATCTTTAAAAAACCTATTTCCATTGCTTATAGACACTTACTATGTATTGCTAGAGAATTAAATGTAACGTAGGTTAAATAGTTATTCGCAAAGTGGAATTAAATTTCTTGGTTTAATGATGATTGTCCATTTATATTTTAATTAAAAGACGTTAAGCGTCCACTTATTAATAATTGTTTTTGCAACAAAGCAGGCTGTTGTACTGTGTTCTAAGTATATAGTTACGAATCTCGTAAAGCCATGTGAAAAGGGATTGTATGCATGCGTAGTTTGTAATTTAGGGCAGTGGAACGGATTTATGTAGGTAAGGAGTACCGCTATAAATACTTTGCTATGCGTAGTTATATAGCCCAAGAGATCATTTGCGGACATCGGCTTTTTTTTCCAAAAACCTTATAGATCTATGTAATTATTTATAACATTAGAGTAAAATTTCCGACGACTTTTTAGCTGCAGCGCATCTATGACATATTTCGTCACCCAGTTAGATTCCTTTGCAGCTACCAGCCCCGGCTAGAGATGTCGCTATTCATTGTATTTAAATTTTTATTCAATTGATATTCAATTATTTTTATGTGAAATTACTCCACTAGTTTTGGATTAGTAGGTAGGATTAGCATCTGACACGGTATGCTAGAAGACGTCGATTCGAATCCGGCCGGATCGAAGTAATTTTTTCTGTGTGTTCGTTCTTTGTATTAACAATTATAACAAACTAGTGTAGTGGAGTAATTTCACATAAAAATAATTGAATATCAATTCAATAAAAATTTGGCAAAAAAAAAATGGTAGGTACACTAAAATTAAAACCATTACAAAGTATTAGTACGGGAAATATTATAATTCGACCTGATGTAGACCTCTTAATTGGTGTGTTTATTTCGTTATCGCAACCAAAATCAGTATCGAATGCGATATTTTGTTTTTCCTTTTCAAGTTCTATTCATTTAAGCAAGATTCAATAATTACAATGTTCAATTTTCCCCTGTCTTAACGCGTGAAACATTTACGAAATGCAAGTTCTGAGTTTCGGTGGTATGTCGCAAGACGAAGGGCCCTTGCCTTTTGTCTCGCGAGGAAGTCTGTGGCAACGTTTTGTTTGAGTCATTTGTCTTTTGAGACACGGCTGGGTGCAAGCGATTGGGCACACTTTTGCTTTTTGGGAATATTGGGGACAGCTTATTGTATATTATAGATTTATCTCTTATGACTACTTTATCATCAAAATGTAGGTTAATTAAAGCATTTTACTACGAAAAATTATTCGAGGGGCTATGACGTAGGTACCAGACGCAGCGTCGACTAATCACCCACAAGGTACATCGACAACCCCGGTGATGGTTATGGAAATCCGATTGGTACGTGCTGTGTGCTGCGTAGTTAGACCGGTCGTTGTGGCGATTTAAGATTTATGTTCAGCAATGGACGTCTTTTGATAGTGTAATGATGACTTACCAAATATTGTCAGTAATGTAATCAATACGAGGGCTGTTCAAAAATAATTAGCCACAGAGTAAACATATACTCTTTTTCCTGAAACTATTTTGAATTGACGGCTAATTTCAATACAAATCTCCTTGGTGAAAATCATCGGCCATCTATGTGAAGTTCTTTTTAAAATTTTTCAAAATCCTTGTTACGTTTCTTTTGTTTGCAACAATTGACGTCTCGCGGGAAGCTTTTCGTGGCATACCAATAGTCATAACTTTTTTTGTTTATTAACGAGAGTTAAGGCCCATTTAGATGGAGAGGTTTCTCGTCTCGAAGATACGATTATCGAAAGAATATAAAAAACTTTCCCTATCTAAACATTCGCGATTATCCACGTGAGCGATAATCGCCTCGCCTTTCAATATTGAACGTCTCCGTGTAAACAGAATTTGAAAGCAAAAATCGTATTTCGAGTTTTTGTGCCAACCGTTTCTACCATGAGTACAGTGCGCGAGGGTATTCGGATTATCACTGCTTTTCTAAGGGTCATATTCTAGAACTCTACTCAATGCTCAAGTCAGAACTTGAGTATTATTCAAAGCACTAGAAATCATACTCAAGTCCTTGCCATTTGGGTCGTATTTCCAATGCTTGAAATCATATTCAAGTCTGCTCAAATCCTGACTTGAGCATTGAGTAGAGTTCTGGAATACGACCCTAAGACAAGAATTAAGGAAACGAAAAAGAAAAAAAAGGGTTCAGAAATGTTGTAAAATTAAAAAAAAAATTTTTAAAAATTTTACAAATGTATATTTCTATACAGTGCAATGAATGTAATAATATCAGCAGTTCCAAATTTTAATAATTTTTGCGTCATTTTGATATATTCATAGTCAATACCGCAGTAATCACTGAACTCGAATGGCAATTCTCGCACTCAAAACGGTTCGAACCGATTTGTACGATAATCGTATGAACTTGAAAAAATGTCATACGAGATCGTGTTTAGACAAGTCGAAAACTCGTAAGCAAGAATCTACTTACTACATATTTCTCTGTGTAAACAGTCGAGGAGGCGATTAAGTTGCTTACGAACCTCGCATGACATAATCGTAGGCGAGATTTTAGTTCTTGCCTCAATGTAAACATTATGATACGATAATCTTATGGCGATTATTGCTTACGATAAACTCGTGCGTAAAAGCGTGCATTAAACTCCCTCCATCTAAATGGCCTTTAACCTTCTAGGAATCTCACAACCTACCTAAACGATGACGCCAGACTCGGCCGACACCAACTGTAGTGTCTCATGAAAATGCATGAGGGTAGATGGGCTACTGCGGGAGAATTCCACACGAAGACACATCGCAGATTAAGACTGAAGTGAAGATTAGATCACAGGCAGTTTCCACCATCATGCATGACCACTTTAAAGTTAGGAAAGTTGCTTTGCGATGGATACCTCATTCTCTTTTGAAAGCGGGTTCACTCGAATGCATAAGTGCGTACGGGTTGGCGGGGAATATTTTGAAAAACTGTAAATAAACATTTTTCGTATTCTAACTATATTTCGTTGCACTTATATTTTGGTACAGCATTTTTATTTGCTGAAATTAACGCAATTGTGCGTATGATACCTAATTAGTTACCTATTATTACTGCTGGTGTTGTTTACAATTTAAAAATTCGTAATTAATATTACTATTACTCGTATAATATTGTATGTACCCGTGTAAGTAATGTATATATAAAATACCACTGCTTGGTACGTGTCTAATGAACGCCCTATTCGACCAGCGCATACAGATATATAGGTTTTTCTCTCTGTGATGATCTACATAACATCTGACTAACACGTCTACTTTACACACCTTTATACAAGTAGTACTTAATACATTTTTTTTCTGTTCCAGGAACTAGGTCTAGATATAACAGACGAGCAACTGGAAGAGCTCGAGTTGTCGATTCACGAGATCGACTTCGCATCCGCTGCAGAGCACGAGAAGAAAGTTCGCCATGACGTCATGGCACACGTCCACACTCTCGCGGAAAAGTGCCCGCACGCAGCACCTATCATCCACCTCGGGGCTACGTCGTGCTATGTAGGAGATAACACTGACTTGATTGTCATGAGGCACGGCTTGGAGCTACTGCTGCCTCGTTTGGCTGCTGTGATTAGTTGCTTGGCAAAGTTCGCTAATGATCACAAGTGAGTATTAAATTCTCACGTGAGTCGACTAAATAATATCGTATCTTGAAAAATATTTCATTTACCCTGTAATATCAATGAATTCATTACAAAATATTACATTTTCAGATCGATCCCAATTCTTGGTTTTACGCACCTCCAACCCGCTCAGCTGACAACAGTCGGCAAGCGAGCTTCGCTTTGGCTAAGTGACTTGTTAATGGACGAGCGCGCACTCTCCCGTGCCAAGGACGATCTGCGCTTCCGTGGAGTCAAGGGAACTACCGGCACCCAAGCCTCCTTCATGCAACTCTTCGATGGCAACGGTGAGAAAGTCCGTTGCCTGGACAAACGTGTCGCTGAATTAGCTGGCTTCGAAAAGCGATACATCGTCACCGGACAAACGTACTCCAGAAAAGTTGACATTGAAGTTATTGGGGCTCTGTCAAGCCTCGGAGCCACGATTCACAAGATGTGCTCAGACATTCGAATTCTTGCTTCCCGCAAGGAGATAGAGGAACCATTCGAAACGTCGCAAATTGGTTCAAGTGCGATGCCGTACAAGAGAAATCCTATGAGATCTGAGCGATGCTGCGCGTTGGCTCGTCATCTGATTACTCTTCACGCGAACGCAGCTAACACACACGCTGTTCAATGGTTGGAACGTACTTTAGACGATTCTGCTAATCGTAGACTCACTATCGCTGAAGCTTTCCTAACCGCAGATGCCACTTTGATAACCCTCCTCAATGTCTGCCAGGGACTTGTTGTTTACCCTAAAGTTATCGGTCGCCACATCGCACAAGAGCTACCTTTCATGGCTACTGAAAACATCATTATGGCTATGGTTCAAAATGGAGGTGATCGTCAAGAGTGCCATGAAAAAATTAGGGTGCTGTCACATGAAGCAGGTGCTCAAGTGAAACAACATGGATTGGACAATGACTTGATCGAGCGTGTGAAGAATGATCCTTACTTCAGTCCTATAATTTCACAACTTGATAAAATTCTGGATCCTAGTACTTTTATAGGCCGCGCCCCTGAACAAGTCGAGGAGTTTATTGCAGAAGAAGTAGAAGCTGTCATTGCAAAGTATAAAGATACTTTAGTTGAAGTTGAAAAACCCGTCGTTTTAAATATTTAAACTCCTGCTTGTAGTACATACGCAGACAGTTTTTATTGGAATATTAGTATCATGACTGGTTAATAGTGCCTAAAAGTGTAAGAATGTTATTTCAGTACTTTAAGAAAAGCCAGTTTGTTTAATGTCATAATATATTTACAGCGTATTATTTCTATAATAAATTTATAAAAATACGAAAATGACTTCACTATTTTACACATATTAAATACTAAATATCGTGTCATACTAAATGAACTAGATAAATGGTAACTCTTATAACCGATGTTGCCGAAAATTTAAGAAAAGAAAACGTTGCTTAGCTACTAAAAGTTTGAGTACAGATAATAAATAACTAGAAGATAACATTAACAAATGAAACAAATAAATTAGAAGCTTTTAACATTAGAGAGACGATTCCTTGAAACAATTGTGAGTATGTCGTCACAATTTCGATGGCACGGTGAGATTCGTATCGGCCGCTGCGGCACTTGATAACAACTTTATAAGGTGTTTGTAAGAAGAGTATCACCTTGGCAAGCTGGACCTTGACTGGGCCAATTGCAGGCACCTATGCTAGGGTCAAAACTAAGTTGAACTGGGCAATTGAACGTGTGGAGAGTGAACTTCTGTTTGTTGCAGTCCCATCTGCAAGCGTAGAACTTGTTACATTGCTTTGGGTGACGGAACAATCCGGCTCTTTCACATTTGATTCCTTGCAGATCGTCTCTCCTCGGTGCGGTTGCTTTCACGACTGGACCAACCTCTTGGTTCAACAACACTGTTTTGTAAGTAGGTGCGATAGTCACAGCCATAACTCGTGGTCGGATTTTTACCACTCTCTCAGTTACTGTTACCGGCGTACTGGAGACGTAGTTTTCGGAGTAGACTTCTTTAATTTTGGGAGTTATATCTAAATTTTCCTGGTAGTCTTGATAGAATGAGTCATCAGGAACAATAATGGGATTAAACGTGGTCTTAGTCACTGTAGGTACAGTAACAGTTTTGACAGTTTGCAATCTGACTGATTTCTGAGTCCATTCATTGTTGTTAATGTCTCCACGGTCATCGGCATCACTGTAATCATCGTTACCATATTCATCAAAGTCCTGTTGTACCTGCACGTTAGGTCTCCTTCCTCTCAAAACCACAAAAGGTGACTGGCAACTGCAGACAGCACCTAATTTCCTTACTAATAGCGGGTTGAAATCGTTGATTTTAGTTACTACAGCAACTTTAGGCTTAGTTCTTCTAACGGGAATGGAAGAAACTTCTATCAATTGTTGCTTAACTGGAGCATAAGCTGAAGTTACTGCTTTAGGTGTTGCAGAGTATGCCTCAGTGCTGGAAATAGTAGGACCAGCTGTCGTGTACGTAACTTCAGATATTAACCCGGCATCAGGGCCAACGGTGCCAAAGCCTAGAAGTTGAGATTTTGCTGTCTCCACTACGATGTTTTGCTTTCTTTTCGATGTTGTAGTTGATTCTAAATATTCTTCCTGATGAGCGTTGTTTTCAATGTTCTTAAGTCCAAAGGTATCAAACTTTACATTTCCTTCCACTGGCGGCAAATATTCGGGTGCCCTATATGCGGCGGTGTATTCAAGAGGCGCTTGAGTAGTTGACTTGTAACGTAGCCTGTTCTTACGGGCAGGCGACGGTGTGCGAGTAATTTCATACGAATAAGGCTCATATGTTGAGGATATCACAGGAGCCGCTGTGGTATAAGTAACTGGAGATACCAGGCCAGCATCAGGTCCTACGGTACCGAAACCAAGAAGATTTGACTTCGCTGCATCAACAACAATGTTTTGCTTCCTTGTAATAGGTGCTGCAGTCGTGGAAACAGTATATTCTTGGTATGGGTTGTATTGTATTTTAGAGGTTTCATCAGAAATTTTGAAATTTTCATAAGAAATGACGCTGGGTTCTTGAGGAGGAAGGTATTCCCGTGCTTTGAATGTCGTAGTGGGAATCTGTGTAGTTGATTTTACAATAGGTCTCGCTGTAGTCAATGGTGGCAAGTAACTATTGTCCACTTTAGGAGGCAAATACTCTGGAGCACTGTAATCTGGCGGAGGTGGTAGATATTCTATAGTAACTTGAGGTGTTTGCGTAGGAGGCAAATACTCCTTGGTTGTGGAGTATGCATATGTAGGAGGTTTATAAGTACTGGTAACTACAGGAGGTGAACTCGAAACCACAGGCGGAAGATACTCTTCTGCCTTATATCCGACTTGAATTTCAGGAGCTTCATAAGCAACTTGGGACACCTGATTGTATTTGGTGATTTTGGTATCAGGGAACGAGGAAAATTGAACAGATTCTATCTTCTTAGAGTGTTCATTATGGTGTTTGCTGAATGCTATCTGCTGAAGTGATGAAGTATCGTAATGTTGGGAATATTCATTGGGATTGTAATCGTACTGGTCTTGAGTTTGGTGGGGAATAGAGCTCTGTTCAATTACAGGCGCCGCAGTGGAAGACACTGTGTAAGTTTGCTCATATTGTATTTTTGGAGGAATATATTCCGGTGCTTTGTATGCTTGTACTTTCTTAGGAGATTCATATTCAGCATAATGATCTTCGTAGATAAGAGTCGATGGTGTCGTAGATACGAATACTACATCTTTGCCGCTATTTTGTTGTCTCTTCTCGTTGTAGAGATGGTAACTCTGATGAGATACAAGGTTAGCATCGGAATATGCCTTTGCGATATTCAACTCCGCCTCTCTTTGAATCTCAGGTTGATTGTATGAATAGCCTTCTTGATTAAACTGCAGATTTTGTTGAGAAAATTCGTATTGAACTGGCTGACTCACGAAATGGTTTACTTCATGTTGTTGGACAACAGGCTTGTAAGTTTGAGTGTAAACAGCGCTCGGAGTCACGTTTTCTATGTATTTTAGAATAGGATTGTTATATACGGTAACAGCAGGCTGGTAAACTTTTGGAGCGACAGTAGACACTACCTTCGGAGTCTCAACTTTGTGAATTGTTTGAGAGCTGTATGAATGTGGCTTGTATGTGGATGATACAGAAGCCGGTGTAGTATATTGGATTATATTAGGTGTCTCTGCGAATTGCACCGCAGGCTTGTGGTATTCGTAGCCGGAGTCAGGTTTTTCATAGGAATACCCTAAGTCTCCTGAAATTTGGTACGTGTTAACCTTGTTAGCTTCTACTTTGTGGAGCGTTTGATGACTGTATACTTGTGGTTGGTAGGTAGACACTACTGCAGGCTGAGCAGTAGTATATTCTACTACAGTTTTAGGTTGTTCAAAGGTGATTTCCGATTTATATTCATAATTATTGGCTGGTGGCAAATATGCGTTGCTAGTATCGACCCTAGCGGATTCTACTTTATGTAAAGTCTGATGACTGTATGTTTGTGGTTGGTAAGTGGATACTACCGGTTGTGCCGTTGTATATTCTACTACAGTCTTTGGTTGTTCGTATGTAATTGTAGGTTTATATTCATACGTATGGACTGGTGGTAAGTAAGCGTTATTTGCCTTAACATTAGATTCGATTTTGTGGATAGTTTGTTGACTGTAAGACTTAGCTGTTGGTTGCACGTACACAGCAGGAGTGACTGAAGCTTCTTTGTACTTAAGAATAGGATTCTCATACACCGTCACCGCTGGTTGATGGTAGGTCAGTCCCACTTGAGGTGCGGGTGTTGTAGAGACGTATTTCGGACTTTCGTACTTATGGAATGTTTGTTGACTATATGAATGAGGTTTGTACGTGGAAATAGTAGCTGCAGGCGTTGTATATTGTATGGCAGTCTTTTGTGCTTCTTCGAACTTAATCTCAGGTTTAGGGTAATCATAGCCAGATGAAGGCTTTTCATAATTGTAACCATAATCGTCTCCGGAGTAAGTATTTACTTTGCTACCATCAACTTTATGTAACGTCTGGTGGCTGATGACTTGAGGTTGGTAAGATACCACAGGCTGTATGGTTACTGGTTGAGTAGTAGTATGCTCAACAACAGTTTTAGGTTGTTCATATATTACTTCAGGTTTGTATTCGTAAGCATTGGCCGCCGGAGGTAAGTAAGCATGGTTTGTTTCGACTTTGTGAATTGATTGTTGACTAAAAGACTGGGCTGTTGGTTGGACATAATTGTTTGGGTTTCCTGTAGTGTAAGCGACTAATTTCTTAAAAGGTTCTTCAGTGACAGGTACAGGGTTAGGGTAGTAATACCCAGATTCTATTGCTGGCGGTAAGTAAGTGTTACTTGTTTGAACATTGTGCACAGTTTGTTGGTTGTGACTAAAACCTTGAGGTTTGAAGGTGGATACTACAATTTGTGGTGCCGGAGTAGTGTACGAAATACCTTCTTCAAATTTAATGTTTGGTTTAGGATAGTTATATCCTGCAGAAGGCTTGGAGTATTCATATCCTGACGATTCAGTCTTAATGTTAACGTTTACGCCTTGATTGTAATCAATGGTTTGAATCTTAGGGGCGATGGTAACAGCGGTAACTGTAGGTTGAACATAGGTAACGTCTGATTGGGTAAAACCGAAAATCTGTTTTATACTCGTCTTTGGCGTCTCTGGGACTAATGTAGTTTTGTAAGTAGATGTAGGAATAGCGGTGGTTACAGAGAAGGGAGTTTCAGTAGTAGGAATACCAGATGTTGTAGGAGTAGTGACGAAACTGTAACCATCTAGATTGTTTTGATCAGTTCCAACATGGTTAATAGATACTGCTGGCTGAGATATTATTGGTAAATGAGCGTTGTGCAAGGTTTGGTGGCTGTACAAATGTTGAGATCCTTTGTTCGCTTCATAATTAAACTGATCGGTATATCCCGCGTCTACCAACGTTGTTTTGCCAACCAATCCAACATTAACAGCTCCAGCGGTCAAAGTATGGGACGCTCCTGTGTAAGCTTTAGAGTCACTCAAATATTGTCCTCCGTTACCATTGCTGTAACCTCCATTGTAGGTATTAATATTGACAGTTTTACCTACGTTCCCGAAATTTCCAATATTGTGCTCCTGTCTGTAGACACCAGCAACATATTGGCCAGAATTGTCCTGTTTGTAGGAGCCGGAATAATCAGGAGTGTATCCGGAATAACCAGCGTAGGCTGTAGAATCAGAGTAGCCGGATGATCCAGTCTTTTCTGATGACCCAGAATAGCCAGATGAGCCTGAATACCCAGATGCTCCAAAATAGCTGGACGATCCAATATCCACATAAGCTCCAGAGTTGTCATGGATATATTGTCCACCATTACCTTCATACTTGCTTCCACTTTGTGACGCGGAATATCTTCCATAATCATAAAATTCTGCTGCCTGTTTGTACTTCGAGTCATCATGTACATAGGGTACAGCAGGAGAATCAATGTGCTTGTAAGGGTCCGCATAATCACCCGAAGGGTCGTGCACATATTGACCTGAGTTATCATTATATTTCCCACTACCTGAAATACTTGATAAGCTGGAGAATCCATTACTAAGCCCATGTCCTCGTCTAGCTACTTCTTCTCGGGTAGGCAGTCTATAATCGTCTAGAATCAAAGAGCCGCTGGTGTATTTTGTAGGTTGGACTAAACTAAAAGAACTTGATCCGTCAGTTTGCGTCAAGCCATGAGAAGCAACTCCATGGGTGGCCTTGTATCCTTCATTATTCAATTCTTGGGAAGCAATGAAGTTAGAGTCGAGTGCATCTGCCTGTGTAAGGAAGCCGGTTTGGATGCCGACCAGATTATCCAAGGATGCTCCAGAAACTAGACTCTGATGGGCTGCAATGTTGATAGCATCTGCTGTTTGACCTTGGAAGCCAACTGCTCCTGAAATAATACATAGGTATTTACTTAAGAATATTTAGATACAAATTACTACTTCATCTAATTTTACTAATGTTATACAACGACACTGGGCATGAATGTTTGCAACTCTATCACGTTACAACAGGCAGTGCTCTCGGCGTACTTTTATGATATTTCTAGATAAAATTACAGCACATTTAAAGAACTTACCGCTAAGTGCAGCTCCGGAGTACCCAAACGCCTCAGCCTCGTATCTGGCGATGTTTCCACAAGCCGGAACGAGCCAGGGCCAATCGCACTTCAGCTTTTCGGCGTCAAAGCCGAGACCGAACGGGCAGCGGAACTCATAAGCCGTAAGGGGAGCCTTGCCGTGATCAAGACACGCGAAGAACCACCGGCAGTTTTCAGGGTCCGCGTAATATCCTGTAAATGATGGTCCCAGTTTTAGACCAACAATAATCCTAATTTTCCTGTGCGAGTAGTAAAACCCAGAAAGTAGACAACATATCCTAATTCTTAGAATGTTGCCAAGGGTTTTGTGTACGATACATAGGTAAGTTTATACAAAATAAGTAGATATTAAAATACCTGGGCAACCTAATATAAGTTCTTAGGTTATCGCGATACTCACAAAAAATGAAACTATTTTTTCGGAAGCAACGTTTCGGGCCCTTTACAGCCGTGATCATGAGACCTGTAAAGAGCCCGAAGCGTTGGTTTGTTTGAAAAAATTATACGCGCCTTAGAACCGAATAAATTGTTTCATTTCCTGAACATAATTATAAGGTTTATTTTTTTTTGCGTTTGCTCTCCGATTCAAAAAGTATCTAATAACTCCTATATACCTTCATGATCAGGGCAGACAAATCGGGTCTGGGGCACAGGTGCGATCTCGGATGACCCAGGGCAAGCTTGCGAGTGAGGCAGGCTGCCTGGCCACACGCACACCTCGTAACGCGAGTCGAACGCTAGACCTGCTGGACAGTCGAACTCGAACACCTGATAAAGGAAATCTTTTTGAGAACCTGAACTGCCAAAGTTCGATTCTGCATAATTATCTTCGTTTCGTGTGTTCATTTTAAGTTATGAGACGAAATAAAAGTAATATAAAAATTCGCATAAATTTTATAGCTTAGTCGGTTGAACTTTTCTTCGACCGTGAAGATTTTTCGCCGGTGAAGAGTATCTTTTTTGCATCGTGTCTGTTAAGCAACATCAGACAACATTATCGTCGTACGACGGCGATTATTTAGGAAGTGAACTTTTTGACGACGGTTTACCTTGAGACCGTATTTCAGTATTCTTCTGACTAAAAAACCCGAAAAGTTATTTTTTTATATAATATCAAATGACGGGACGGACAAGTCGTGCGCCTGATGGTCAAACGCCTGTCCATACCAGTTGCAGTGCCATTCAAAGGTTTAAATCGAAAATATCTGAGGGGCACTGCCACTGCGCCCGTCACCCTGCGATATAAGTTGACGAGCCCTACGTGCCTGTAATTTCACCAGCACCCTTATCCTTCAAAACCGGAACGCAGTAATGCTAACATTGCTGCTTGACGGCAGAAATAGGTAAGGTGACAGTACTTCCCTGGACGAAATCGTTCACAAGGAGCTCTGCTGTTACTAAAAATATATGTTAATCTGCAAAATGAGTTTCTTCCGGGTGCGACATGGATTTCGGCGACGTTGCTCTCTAATCGACCACTCTATGGCGGTCTTTTAGAGAATCAGTCTCCTTACAATATTTTATGGTGTAATATACAAAGCTGCGACTTACCCCAAAACATTTTATGTCATGGGAAATCTTCATTGTTTTTTTCCCCCGCCATATGTAGCGAAATTACAATCGCACGTAACTGTTTTGTTCCCTCGATGACGAGAAAACTTAGAAATAAATTTAAAAACGTACAAATAGAACATAGACATTCTAAATACAAATTTAAAAAAGAATGAAAGAGCTGCCAGTATTATTATATTTTGTTTTTTAAAGTCAAAGTTTGACTCAAGAGTTATGAACAGACGGGGTATAAGTACTTACTAATTTAGAAAATTTGGAATCTGGTAGGTGTGGGAAAATAGTTGATTTCATGGCTGTAGTTCTTTAAAATATCTAAACAAATGGGACCTTAATAATATCGTTCAATATTGTCACAGGTAATTGCAGCAAAAACACGTACGGTGAATTCAGGCGAAAGTTGATCAAACTTCACGCAGCGGTAGAATCGTGCGCAGGAACGCGGATGCACGAAGTAGCCTTGCCTGGAACACGAGAACTCCGTACGGGTGTCCTAAAACGGTACAATGTTAATAAAGAATTTCTGTAACAATATTTATATACTGTAATTGGCACGGGTTTCTTTCATCGAAAAGGTATCAGGCCTTAAATGACCAGTCTAGCCTTAAGCAGGTAACATAAACGCATTACCTCTCTGATAGAGTGTATGACGCCATCGGAGTCGACGACCTGCGTGATTCTATACGGGGAGATTTGCAGTGCATCTAGTGCGCGCGCATGGCCCCCGGCTGATAAGATTTCGTGCTCCAAAGATCTGCAATCATGATGTCATATGTTTCAGTATGTCATATGTTAGTCTACACTAACACCACATACAGGTTGACTAAAACCAAATACATACAGACTGTGACTTAAAATACTTGTAATGTAGCAGGTAGGTTTTTGACAATCTCGATGGCCCATTTGTTTGTGTTGCAGTGTTTCCAAATTAGTCCCGGTCTAGGCTTTCTGGGTAGTACCTACCCCGGACTGACTTCCGTTGCTTTGGAAGTATTAGTACAGGAAATTAGCACACACTCATAGCCCTGTACTAGGAAAATCCTGTATCGCGAGTGCCATGGACAAACACATAGACAACCACAAATTACACCCAAACTCACTAGAGATATAAATATAGGTCATACAAAAATTCCGGGACCTCTCCGTAGCAGTCCAGCATTGTAACCATTCGGCCACGAAGAGAGTTAAATTAGTGTGTTTGTCTGACTCATTTCTTTACGAGAACTTAAATTCTCTGGAAAGTGGCATATGACCTATTTTGTATGTATAACAAGCAGAAAAACGTCATCATCATTGACCTACCAGGTCAATGATCATCATGATATGTTCGGGGTCGCCTACATCCAGTGAACATTATAACTAAGAGTTTACCTAAGCACAGCCGCTCTAGGTGCCCTGCTCTGCTGATTCAAGACCTTCGCGAGCGCAGTCTTAAGGCTGGCCCCACACGGAGTGTCAGTATCGCGGTCCGCGCCGTGCAGCGCCAAGCCGGCCAGTCCGCGCACACGCACGTACTTGCCCTTCACGTCCGCTGATGACGAGTCTTCGAACGACATCCATGTCTTGTCTCTGGAAAGAGATACAAAACTTATTTTTTCATGCAAACAGATCCAATTGCTTTAGCAGTGTTGTCACTTTATCGACATTTTCAGTTGAATATGAGCTAATGCTCATATGTCGATAAAGTGACACAATGTATATGTATTAACATAATGTTGTTGCCGTGTCAATGTTATTGACAAATGAATTAAATATACATGAAATCATTACATCTTTTAACCGACTTCAAAAAAAAAGAAGTTCCAGGTTCTCAATTCGACTGTATGTTTTTTTTTTGTATGCATGTTTCGCGATAACTCCATTTGTGAACCGATTTTCATGATTATTTTTTGTTGGAAAGAAGGTACAGTCAATAGCACATCAAGCTTGACACTTTGTACTTTGGACTGTTCTTATCGTAAGCGGTATAGAGTTGGATTTAAGTCTTAAGTGTCAAGCTTAATGTGCTCTTGATCCTGTACCTCAAAAGTGGCTCCATTTATTTGAAGAAAATATTCCACCTCTAACGGTGGCAAATTAGGGTATGAATGATTTTTGAGGTCGGTTTTTTTAGTACTCTATACTGAAATTATTGGTATAATTATTTAAATACTGTTTTTTAAACAACAGGCAGGGTCATCACAGATGTCCTCTATTACACAAGAAATAGTTCAGCTTCTTAATCACTACTTACACATGGCATGATGTGGTGGTTGTGGTAATGTTGTACTACATTATTATCAAAGTTAACACAGGTTAGTATACCGGCAATAACAACTCATCTATCTAAATGTAATAATTGCTCACTTAAAAGCATAAGGCGCTGAGAGATCCTGATCCCTCTCTAAAGTCCATCGTCCCTTCTGCAGAAGCCGGCAAAGTTCGGCTTGGTCTATTTCTTTAGGTTCGTCTTCCGTGGTAGGACTGCCAGGCGTACTGAGCGTCTCGTTCAAGAGGGTAAACTTGCGGGCTGTGGCCGGGAGGCTGACCACGATCTTGGACGCTGGAACGCCCAGACCCACTACTAGGTCTACAACGGAGTCCTGTAAAATAACAAGATATTGTGTTATTAAACGCACATAATGTATGCAATAACGCACACACTCTTCACCCCGCATTGAGGAAATCTTGTGCCGGGGACACTGCCATGAACAACGACAAATTACATCCAAACTCACGAGTAAATGTACATACCATACAAATCTCCCAGCCCGGAAATGGAACCCGGGACCTCTGCGTGGCAATCCAGCATAATAACCATTCGGACAGGGAGGCAGATTAATTATAGTTGTATGTACAGATTTCTCTATTTTTTATTCTACTAATTATTTTTATGCATGTAATCCATAATCATTCTAAAACGCAATTACGTTAAAATTAAATATTATGTAAATGCTTAACTGTGTATCTATTTTCTATCCAATTACTAATCAAAGACTAAATTTACTAAAATAAATTTAATATACCATCTCATCCAGCTATAAATTTAAAATGACCATCAAATGTCTAGCCTAAAATTGCTGGTCTTATTTAATTAATGCTCTCATATGATAATATGATCATATATATCAATATTAATGCAAAATGCATTAATGTTGTTTGGAACAAGAACCTCGATGTACCTAGTTAAATAGTCTCTTCATCTGTACATTAAACTTTCATATCCATTAATTATTTATCCAAACAAATAACTGATATATCGAGTTCTTAGATTTTCGCGATTGTTACACATAAGAAATGAAACTATTTTTCGGAATTTAAATCGCGTATATTTGTATTTTTAAACAAACCAGCGTGTTGGGCCCTTTACAAGTATCATGAGACCTGTAAGGGGCTCGAAGCGTTGAAACGTTGGTTTGTTTGAAAAAACAAATATACGCGATTTAAATCCGGAAAATAGTTTCATCTCCTAAATAATTGATATGTTAATCTAGGTATTAGATTTAAAATACAACTGTGCTTTTAAGAAGTGTACGTCTTTATCTCTGGTACTTTCATTTCAATAAAAAACCGAATAAGGATGTATACATAAAGTTTTCTCCTTTAAATGTCCAAGAGCGATAGTGCTATACAAGGTGTAAATTTGAGACGGGACAGCAAGCCCAGCTACCTCAATCGTTGTAGTTATAGGAAAACGGTTCTAGAAGATTATTCAAGAATTTTGAAGATATTTTGATTGGCATTCACAGATTTTAAAAAAATGGTACAGTCAGCAAGATAAAAGGCAATTTTGACAAAAAAAAAAATTTTGCCATTCGATCCGGTCTCTGGTAAGGATCAATAGTCTCTATGGTACCAACTGAGGTAAGAGTACTCGAAATGGCAGAAGTCGCAAAAAATCTTTTACTACACATTTTAAATGAAAAGTTTTTGTTAGAAACGGAACTGGCCACTAGTCTACAAATAAGACTTAAGTAAAACCAAATTATAATCATATCACTATTTTTTTAATTTTTTACGGCTTAAGAATACATTGTCGCCTCCCCATACATGCCCGTGGGGGTCGTAAGAGGCGACCGAGGGCGTCACAAGTGTCCATCTGCTTAGCGTTGTGGTAGGCTTTGTGCCGACTGGATAGCGACCACAGTACACACGGCGGAAAACCCTCCACAGTGAAACGCTTTTGCGAATCGCGTTCAGGGATCAGTTGGTGTACATCCAGTGCACGTGGAGTTTTCGGCGCGGTATCTGGGAGGACTGAGGCGGATATTCGCCATGTCACTTGTTGAGGGATATCTAGTTGACCTGCCGCCCAGGGAGACCCGTAGAAACGGTTGTCCGCTGGCCGCCCGCGGTACAGTACAGGGGCCCAATAGGGACTAACTACCCCTAGAGGCTGCCTCACCATGCCGCGCATAATCTTGGGGTAGGTCGTCGTGCCGGTTAGTGACCGGAATATGGGGTCCCGGCGGCATATCCCGGGGGGGTACGGGGGCCCTTCCGTTCGGCGGGTCAGCCGGCTATCCTTCAAAAGATCAATGGCATGTATTGCAGTTCCCCTCGTTTTTCTTCTTCGGTGCGGTGCCGAAAGCTTCAACTCTTCACACTACCGTCCTTCTTACCCACCATGACAGCTCAACATAAGAATGCAGATCGTTCAGCGGTGCCTAATCCCCCCACCGCGTTTATTATTGAGTTCGCTAACATCCGCGGACTCCACTCCAACCTCAAAGCTGTCCACCATCACCTCGAGACAGCCCGGCCTGCCCTGCTTTTCCTGACGGAGACGCAGATCCGCCGTCCGAATGATATGAGTTACTTGAACTACCCCGGCTACTCGCTTGAGGAAAACTTTCAGGCCAAAGCCGGGGTATGTGTATATATTTGTTCGGATGTGTGCTGTCGCCGTCTGCGCTGCCTGGAGGACCCCTCCTTTTCCACTATGTGGGTGCTCGTAGAATTTAGCTATTCAGCTAGAGTCTTCGCGTGCTTATATAGATCCCGCAGCGGGGATGCGGAGACAACTAGGCTCTTTGACCAACTGAGCCAGGCGACTCTTGACGCGCAGGCGCAGTTCCCATCTGCGGAGATGGTCGTGTTGGGGGACTTTAATGCTCACCATGAATCATGGTTGAGTTCCCTCAAGACTGACCATGCAGGAAGAACTGCCCACGCTTTCGCTCTCACGCATGACTTGACCCAACTGGTAACCCAGCCCACCCGGGTTCCAGACATATCGGATCATGCACCCTCTTTGCTTGACCTTCTGCTCGCGAGTCACCCTACCTACTATACAGTATCAGTCAGCGCCCCTCTGGGAAGTTCTGATCACTGTTTGGTTGCGTGTAAGGTTTCCCAAATGCCTCCAACTAAGCTGAAGGAGGTCACTTGTGGCATTTGGCACTACTCGTCGGCGGATTGGGATGGTATGCGCGACTACTTTGCGTCCATCCCTTAGTTGCAGCACTGCTTTGCGGGAAAGGATGCCTCAGCAGCTGCCGATGCTGTTGCCGATGAGATTGGAACGGCTATGGATTACTACATACCGTCTTCCAGTGTCATCGCCAATCGCAGAGGACGCCCTTGGTTCAATCGCGAATGCATGGACGCTGTTAGTGAGAAACAGGCTGCATATCGTGGTTGGATCAAGAGTCGTGTAACAAAGGATCCCAACCTTACGTCCCTTAAAGCAGCCTATAACAAAGCAACAGAGTTTTGCAGGAGGGCTTACATAAGAGCGGATGACCAGCGCGTTTCACGGATTGGCCAGAAGCTGGTGGCCCATCCCACCGGTAGCTGTGCCTACTGGAGCCTGGCCAAAGCCGTGCAGTCCAATTTTTGTCGTTCGTTGCTGCCGCCTTTGAGGTATCCCAATGGATTTTTGGATTGGATTTTGGAATGGAGGCCTATGGCCCCGAAGAGAAAGCCAGTTTATTGGCCGACCTTTTTGGGGCTAACTCGCGCATTCACGACCAAGATGCGCAACCGCCGTCAATTCCCCACTGCGGAGTCACAATGCCTGATATAGTTATCAAACAATGTGATGTCCGCAAGGAATCGCAGACTCTTGACGTGCGGAAGGCCTATGGTCCGGATGGGATACCTCCTATCGTCCTTAAAAGGTGTGCGGCGGAGTTGTCTCCCGTACTGACGCGCTTATACCGCCTCTCATACCAATCTGGTAACGTGCCCCTAGCTTGGAGGGAGGCCAACGTGCAACCTATCCCCAAGAAAGGAGATCGGTCTGATCCGACAAACTATCGCCCAATAGCTGTCACTTCAGTTCTCTGCAAAGTGATGGCGCGGATTCTAAATATCCAGATAATCCGGCACCTGGAACGTCACTCCATTCTTAATGATCGACAGTACGGGTTTCGGCCGAACCGATCAACGGGTGACGTTCTAGCGTATCTAATGCATCTCTGGAGTGAAGCTATCGACAAACAGGGCGAAACCTTAGCGATAAGTCTGGATATTGCTAAGGCCTTTGATCGGGTCTGGCACCGTGGTCTCCTCTCCAAGCTTCCGGCATATGGTCTTCCCGGCCGCCTTTGTGAGTGGATCTCGGGCTTTCTACGCGAGCGAAGATTGCGTGTCCTTGTTGACGGAGGCACTTCGCGGCTCGTGACAGTTAATGCTAGGGTGCCACAGGGCTCCGTGCTGTCGCCCACGCTGTTCCTTCTGCATATCAATGACTTGTTGCCTCTAGGCAACATTCATTGCTATGCAGATGATAGCACAGTGCACGGTTGCTATTATAAGCAATCGTCAAGCAGCCGGGAGGACCCTGAGAGAAACCGGGAAAAACTTGTCGCTGAGCTCAACCATGTTTTGGAACATATATAGTCGTAGGGCTCCCGAAACTTGGTTGAGTTCAACGCGAAGAAAACCCAGGTATGCGCGTTCAGCTCCAAAAAATCCCCATTCCTTCCACTTCCCTATCTTCAGGGTACAATGCTGACACTGCAGGACAAGCTCAGCCTACTGGGAATGAGCATCCGGAAGGACATGAGCAACAAAGATTATATCGAGAGCGTCATCTGTACTGCGTCGCGCAAGCTTGGCATCCTGAACAAGGTGCACCGATTTTTTACTCTAGAGCTGCGATACCTGTTGTATAAAGCTCAGGTCCGAAGCAGCATGAAGTACTGTTCGCACCTTTGGGACGGCTCTGCCAAGTACTTGCTCGATGCCCAAGATGGACTACAGCGCTACGCCTTCCGTGTTGTCAACGATCCTCATGTAACTGAGCATGCGGAGTCGTTACAGCTTCGCAGAGATATAGCGTCTCTTAGTGTATTCTATCGCCTGTACCACGGTGAGTGCTCTGAAGAGTTATTCAACCTTATCCCTTCCTCTCCTTTCCATCAGCGGACCACCCGTGCCGGACTGCGTTGCCACAGTTGGACGGTCAGTTCAATACCGTCTCGCACTAAAAAGTTTGGCAATTCGTTTTTATGCCGAACCATCAAATTGTGGAACCAACTCCCGGCGCATGTATTCCCTCCCCTCTATAACATCGGGTCCTTCAAACGTAGTGTGAAGAAGCATTTGGCCAGATCGGCAAAATGATAGTGACGGAGTGAAGATATTTGTGTTTTCC